GACCTTGTGCTTGCCAGGCAGGTGCTGTGCTGCTGAGCTAAATCCCCAGCCCCTAATTATTATTTTTTTTGATCCCTGGAATCAAACTCAGTACCTTGTGCTCGCCAGGCAGGCACTTGTGCCTGCTGCGCTATATCCCTGGCCCCACGCAGATTAAGGACTAAAAATTAAACTTCCTTCTACACAACTAGCCACGGCACAGGGAGCGGAGCTGCTCACAGTGGGGTTTCACATCCAGCAGCGCCATGCGATACTGGTAACGCGGAGACGCTAACAGGCTGCCAGAAACAGGGACCCAAGGCTGCAGGCTCGAGGTCAATGACGTGCTTTCTGACACCCCACAGTGCTCATGGGGGTGAACCAGACCTAACTACACTTGATAAATTCAGTCACAAAAAGGGAGGTATTTCTGTTTGTTTGTTTGTTTTTCCGGTAGTGGGAATCGAACTCACGACCTTGAGCATGCCAGGCAGGCGCTGTGCCGCTGAGCAAAATCCCCAGCCCCAAAAGGGAATATTTTTAAAGAATACTGGAATCTCAAATTAAGTTCACTCAAAACATTAAAGCTGCACCTTGAACACTGACCCCAGCACTCGGGACCCCGGCTGAGGCAGGACGATTGCTGCAAGTTCGAGGCCAGCCTGGGCTACAAAAGTACGTTCAAGACCAGCCTGAACTGCATAGCGAGACCCTGTCTCCAAAAAGACAAAAAACAAAACAAAACAAGACAAAACCACTGATAACTGTCTCCTTTGACTTAAACACAAACTGTCACCATCTATCAACACGACAGGTCTCTGTTTCTAAATGTAATCCAGCTAGCATTTCTATCATGGGAAGAAAATGTCTCATCCCCAAAGTCCAGGGATTGAAACGGCACCCCACTTTTGATCTTGTGCTAAAAGATTTTAGAACTATAAGCTTAAGACAGAATAGTATGGGGGCACAAATTTTTACTTCAGGATTTTTTTCTAGGCATTTAAATTTTTTTCTTTTTTTTTGGTCTTTTTGAGAGACACAGTGTCAGTCTTGCTATGCAGTTCAGGCTGGCCTTGAACGATCCTCCCAGGTGCTGGGATTACAGGTATGCACCACCATGCCCGACTTTAAATTTATATTTAAGCAGCCTCTCTTACCCCTAAAGAGAAATTGCTGCTTACCATTTTGAGTAAGAGGCCAGTTTAGCAACTTAAAGTAAGAAATTAATAGAACTACTCCCACAGAGGTTATAAAAGGCCGCTGAAGTAACCTGAATGACATGGGCCAGCACGAAAGAGGCGCTGGATCCGCTGAAGCGTCACCGTCTGCGGACATGAGGGCTGCACACAGAACGAGGTGGGGGCTGCGGCTGCTGGGTTTGTGTCCCGGCTACTCCACAAGAAACAAAGAGAACCACACACTTCCTGGGCCCTCACAGTGTAGTCACTTCCCTTTTTGCCTCTGGCGGTACTAGGCCCGTGCTGGCGAGCTGACAGCAGGCTCTGCATCCGGCAAAGCTCTGTAAGCCCCAGCATCACTGTGCTGGGGTATAAGCCCTGCGCCTCACACGTGTTCTTCCACTGAGAGACACGCAACTGTACTTTTCTCATCAGTTTTTGTTGTTGTTGTTTTCTTTTCCAGTACCGGGAATCGAACTCGTGACCTCACGCTTGCCACGCAGGCGCTGTGCCGCTGAGCTAAATCCCCAGCCCTCAACTGTACTTTTTTACATCTTTCTTTCTTCATTTTGAAGTACTGGGGATTAATCCCAGGGAGTGCGCCGAGTTACACACCCAGAAATTTTAGTATTTTTACTTAAATGTTTGGATACTGTAACTACTGTTATATATACCCAATCTGAATTTTTGGAACTAGCCTGGCTAGTACTTAGAATGGCAATGTACAAAATTAACCATATTGGTCTGGAAATATTAAATGACTTTTTTCCATTTCTATCAGGGGTTATACGCTGTGTTAAATATGTTTCACCTACATGCGTTTGATTACCGAAACTAACAAGGTATTCTCTAAATATAAACACGTAAGTAACTTCAGTTTTTGGAGACAGAGTCCCACTGAGTGATCTACACGGACCTCAAATTTGCAGTCCTGACTCAGCCTCTCAAATGCTAGGACTCCGAGAGCGTAGCACACTCTCAGCTTTATTTCGTATGTGTGTGTAATGAACACAAAGCTTTCTGCACTAAGCTATATCCTCAGGGCTTTTTCTATTTATTTTGAGACACTGTCTTGCTAAGTTTCCTAGTCTGAGTTTGAACTTGCAACCTTCCTGCCTCAGCCTCCCAGAGTACTGGGTTACAGACGTGTGCCACAATGCCTGGCTCATCTGGATTTCATTTACACAAAGCTTAGCACATTCTAGGGCGCTCCACCGAGGTTTAAAAATAAATGTCAGTTTATTGTTTTTTTTCCTGCAACAGAGTTTATTCTCTCTAATCAGCTGAGAGGCTAAGATCTTCCACTGCACTGCACCACCCATGTGCGTTCCCAACAGAGCGCAGGCCTGAGCTCCGGGGCGTTCTTGGTAGCTGCAGGAAGTACAGAGAACAGCTCAGCACCAGCGGCAAGCAGCCAAGAGCAGAGCGGGCCACATGGAAGCCCAACTGAGGGCGGCAGACAGGGCTGCGCCTGCTTCCCAAAGAGGGCGAAGAACATGGGAGAAACGGCAGGCAAAAGGCGTGACACCTGCCCTCCAAAACACACTGCTCAAGTGGGACCGGCTCAAGCTGTCCTCTTGCTCCCTTCTCGTTTTGTTTTGTTTTTTGGTACCGGGAATCGCAGGTACCAACTGTGCCGCTGAACTATATCCCCAGCCCTTCGCTCCTTTCTAAAACCGCTGCTGGCGCGGCCGGGCATTCAGTGGATCCAACCATGGCATCCGGGCTGCTTACGGCCCTCGGTCCTGCAGGACACCATGGGTGTCGGCTGGTCCCCTACCACAGCTCTGCCACTGGGTCTTCACAGCACTCTCCTCCACGGGGGGAAGATGGGCTTCGGGCTGTGCGTTTACCATCCGGTCACCTTCGTGTTCTCAAGGTCTGCTACTCCAGGGGCCGCTCCACTCTCGCCTTCCTCTGCCACATTACCAGCCAACGAAGATCAGAACGCTGCTCACCACGGCCACTCCAAGTCAGAGGTGCTGAGGACAAACGCCTCACTTACGACGCAGCAGCCCAGCCTCGGCCCTTGCGAAGAGCTGCTTATGTCTTCAGGGTAACTGCGCAGCTACGAAAGCCTCTCCTTACGAATGCGTGGCGAGCCAGCCCTCGGAGAGCAGCTGACGCGCGAGACTCCTGGGCCCGGCTGCGGCTGCGATCGAGGCTGTGCCGAGCCCGCAGCTCACAGGCAGGGCTCCTGAGGGGCGCGCTGCAGGTGCAATGGAGCCTGGCTCTGGGAGGACAGGGGCTGGTCTCGGGGTGTGACCGGGAGTGTTCCTGCCCCTCCTGGGCGCCTCTTCATGTTCGGCTTCCAGAATAAAGCAGGAGACGAGGGCAGCTGTCCTTCAGTGTCCTTGCCTTGGGGCCAAAACAAAGCTCTTCCTCTGGGCGTGGGTGTCAGGTGTTTTGTCCCAAGTAACTCACAGACACCGCTGGCAATTTTTAACAAGCAATCACCTAGCTCTTCTGCAAGCGGCAGGGAACTAGTTCGCAGCATTGCCTCCTATCATTCCGATCTGGCTGTGCCAATCACGTTCGGGACGAGTGCAGCTGGGAAACGGGCTGGCGATGCAACGGACGCGGCATGGATGGGCACAGCTTCGCCGGCCCGCCGCTGCCCGACCACCCTGCTCCTCCTCGGGCTGCACCTTTCTGGAGACCACAGCTTCCTGTGATAGAATTCTAGCAATCTTGTGCTTTTTAATAGCGTATTATTATTTTTAACAGCCGTATCAAAACGAATTTGTACTCGATAAAGGTACCACTGAGCATTCTTTTTTTCTTTGTTTTGTTTTTTTTCCGGTACCGGGAATTGAACTCATGACCTCACGCTTGCCAAGCAGGCGTTGTGCCGCTGAGCTAAAACCCCAGCCCCCGACTGAGCGTTCTTACAAGGAATCTTTTCTCGTTTTGTTCTGTGGTACTGGGGACTGACCCCAGGGCCTTCACCCGGAGCTATGTTCCCAGCCTCTTATATTCTTGTATTCGGAGACAAGGTGGCACTGAGTCACTGAGTGGCCCACACTGGCTAGAGCTCGGTCTCCGGCGTCAGCGTGGCCGATCCGCGGCGGTCCCCTTGCTCGGGTCACAGCTGCCGTACGTTACGCTGCACTCCAAACCAGCCACTGCCTTAACGTTAGTGTAACGCATACACCCGTTCAGTTCACGTCACTTCTAAATCTAGCTCAGGAAACAACATAAATCCTTTTCTCCTAGAGTACGCCAGTGACTTTCTTCTGAAATCACTGCTGCCCCGTGAGGCGGGGTAAACGGTCTCACCTGTGGGGTTCTCGGAGGACTCTGAGGAGCTGGCCTCGGCGCCGGGCTTGTCTTTCAAGCTGGGTTTAGGCAGAGTCTCATCTCTATTCTCTCGGGCATGGCCTTCCTCCTCCTCCTCCTCGCCATCCGGAAACTCCCACTGAGACTCGCCCGACTGCTCATGTACATAGAAATACCGCCTATGATCCCTAAATCACAAGAAAGAGAACACGGGTTTTAAAGCCTGCTCCCCTACAGGGACACGTGCGCTCGGTCCTGTCCCAGGGCAGCAGTCTGCGCTCTCAGGGACGAACCTCCTCCTACGGACTGCTATTCACAAAGGCGACAAAGAGCTTTGACCACTGAGGAGGGAGAACCAAGGAGAACTCAAAGCTATTTGCACCGCCAGCAGCTCTGTGAATGCAGCCCTGCGCCCTGGCTCCAGCACATGACTGACAACGTTTCTCTTTTTGTTTTTTGCCAATGCGTAACAGGGCACCGAGCGTCATTAATGAGGGACTCAATGCCTAGAACACTAGTTTCCCTTCCGGAGAAGAGAACAGCGCAGTGTGTGAAAGGTGATCTTCCCCTCTTGGACCGTGGAATTCACAGTTCATATTCTTGGTATCAAACACAGTGATAGCTAAAGAGAGGGAGAGGATCTGGGAGCTGAAAAATAAAAGAGCAAAGATTTCAAATAACGAAAAAAAAAAAAATCAAGAAAAGCCAAATATAAAAAGAAATGTTTTCATCTGACCTGCCGGCAGAGGATAGTAATCCTGTTCTTCATTCACATCTTCCGCCACGAAGCTTCCCTTAACTGCGCCGAGGTTAATCAGGAGTGGGTGCTTCCAGAGGTCCTGTAAAGCGCACAGAGCTCTCGCATGCGCTTAGCCCCCAAGCCCGCCCTACTCCGTGCACTCTGGAGAGGAGACACCGGCTTGGTCCGATCTTGGGAGAAAATCCGTTACACGGCACACTGTAAACACTCTTGCTTGCTCTGCTGTGCGGCCGGCCCGGACTCTGTGTGTGCGTGCGGCGCTCGGCCTGCCCGGCCTCTCAGCGCAACGCCTCAGTCTCCACCCGGGCCGCCGGAGCGTCGTGTGGCGGTGATCACAAATCATGTCTGAGGTGTCAAGGGTGAAAGGTGAGAGGGGGAGAAGAGTGCGTACCTGTCCCAGTGGCAGGACCAGCCTTTAGGAGTGGCGTTTATTTCATATTGTTTTAGTTGTTCTGCTGCGTCCTGAAGCTTTCGTTTAAGGTAGTTTCCGTTAAGAGCCCCTTCCCGCCAGTCCGCAATTCGAGTCTAGAGCCAGGAAGGAAAGGACAAGCTCGTCAGGAGGCGGAGGGAGGGGGACCCGCGGCTTCTACTCAGCCGTGCTGCTCTACTCCGACAGAAGAACAGCCGGAGAGGAAGAGAACTCGCGCTCTGAGCTTTGTGCTGCAAGGGCTGTCTGTGTTCCAGCAAAAACAGGTGGCATAATGTCACGTGAACATCAGTCAGGGCCGGGGATACAGCTCAGCGGCACAAGGGCCTGCCTGGCAAGCGCAAGGCCCTGAGTTCGATTCTTGGCACCCCGCTCCAAAAAAAAGAGGACAGAAATCAGACACACAAGCACAAGGGTCACATGACTTCTCCTAAAGGAGAAACCCCAAGGATAAATCTTAAAACAAAAGACAGGTAACAGGAAATGGACGGAGACCTTTCACAAACGCGAAGGGACCCAGAGACGGTGAAATGTGCTCCACGCACGCTCAAAGCTCAAAAGGAACACAGCCACTGCGTGCTGCCAACGGGCACAAACTTAGAGTGCAGGTGCTTGCTGGGCCGAGCGCACTGGTGGGTGCGCACACAGCGTCCTGGTTGTTAAAAATGCCTGATTTGCGCTGAAAAATGAGACTGGACTCCAGGCTGTTTGTGTACTGAGAACACTTCACTCTCAGGGAAGACGGCGCACCGGCTCTGTCTCCTTCTCTGGGTGTAAAGTTCACCACCTCAGCAATTTTATTTCTTACTTTTTCTGCTAGATAGACAGTTCAATTCAGTATTTTTAAGAAACAAAACTAGAAGTTTTAGGCGTACATGCTAGCACGAGCCTATAACCCCGGCACCGTAGGAGAGCAAGGTAAAAAGATCACTGCTCCAGCCCAACCTGGATAACTAGTGAGATTCTGTCTGAAAGTACAAAATATTGTAAGGAGCTGGTGACGGTGTGGTGGCGCACACCTGCAGTCCCGGTACTCAGGAGGCTGAGTCAAGAGGATTGCTGTTAAGTTCAAAGGCTGCTCTAGAATACAAGCAAGATTCTGTCTCAAATACCACCCCCCGAAGGGTAGGGGGTACAAGAGCGCTGCGTCCAATGCTAGATGCTACCATAAATACACAGATGGATGAATGGGCTGGGCTGGGGGCTGCAGGGCTGTGGTGAAGCCTTCACTCAGCTCTGGGTTCAATCCACAGGGTGGGGGAGGATGTTTATTAAAATGCATGTCTAATGAAGGAGCAAAGTATCAGTACACCCAGGCATCAGCATTTACCTTCGTAATCACATTTTGCTTTGACTAATGTAGCTTTATTTCCTGACACTTTTAAATGTAAGCTAAAAAACTGCTGTGCATGCCAGTGCACACCTACCATCCCAGCTCTCAGGAGTCTGAGGCAGGAGGACTGCTGTGAATTCAAGGTCAGCCTTAAACTCAAGAAATACACACACAAAAAACTTCAAATGGCGAGTCGCCAGGACTGACACACACAGGTGCCACGCACTGTCTGTGCTCACCTCAGTCTGCAGGAGCAGCACGTGGAAGTTGGAGATGGACTGTCTACTAATGCCCAGGAACTCGAATTTACTTGTCAGGGTGTTCGCCAGTTCTCCTATCTGAAACTGACAGAGCAAAAGAAAGGTCCACACACACAGAATTAGCACTATTTTCTTTCTCAGCATCAAGCTGCTCCTGTAATTCCTTATTTCAACCTTAAACCAGACTGCTTCACAGAATAGGAAAAACAGAGGCGTTCACAATTTAGGCTTAATCTTAGACACAGTAGACTTATTACTTGCTAATGGAAAGTAACAACGGCTGGCTTTTTAAAAAAATTGTTATATTCACAATGCACATACTTTCAAATCTTGGTCATCTTCTACTTTAGGTGTTGTTTGGACTTTTATCTTCTCTGAGGATTCTTCTACTTCTGCTTCTTTATCTGAATTTTCATCTACTTTTTCTGAATTTTCAGTACCAATTGCTGCAAAAAAAAAAAAAAAAAAATTAATTACATAACAAGACCCTGTCTCAAAAAAAACGAAACAAGGGCCGGGCATAGTGGCGCACACCTATAATCCCAGCACCCGGGAGGCTGAGGCAGGAGAACTGTTGGGAGTAAGGGCCAGGGAGGGGGAAGCAGCAGGACAACACGGAAACAAAGCTTTTGTAAATGAGGTGAGGAGGGGCTGGGGTGGGGAGCAGCAAGATGTATCATGCACAGGCACAGATCCCCTATGATGAATATGGTCATCATATACCTAAAATGTACCCCCCAAAACCCAAACATGAAATTAAACCAACAATATCTAACACCAACAGCAGTAATAGTTGAAAAAAAACAGCGCTCTCTCTCCTCTGCCTGGTTCCTTAACTGGCAAAAAGTTCTAGCCAGCCATGGAGGCACACTGCTGTAAGCCCAGGACTTGGCAAGCCGAGTCCTGGCAGGAGGGTACTGAGCTCAAGCCCACCCTGAGCAACTCAGTCAGACCATGTCTCAAAATTATAGGGGAGAGGGTGCGTGAGGTGTGGGTCAGTGAGAAGGACCTGGGTTCATCTTCAGTGCCAACTACAATATGGATGGGGCTGGAAGAAAGCTTCCAAAAATCACAGCAATAGCGATTTTAAAGCCAAACTGGGCGCGGTGCCACACACCTGTGATCCCAGCTACAGACTGAGGCAGGACGGCCACTTGCTCAACGCCAACCTAAGAACGTTAGTGAAACCCTGACTCAAACAAAAACGGCTGGGGATACGGCTCCATCTTCAGTAGAGCCAAAAATCAAAACAAGAAAATGTAGGGCCGGGGATATAGCTCAGCGGCACAGCACGCGCTCGGCAAGGTCAGGAGTTCCATTCCCAGTACCAAAAAAAAAGAAAAGAAAAGGTTGCAGCAACCCACCACGTGCAGCAAGGGTAAAAAGTGTAGGGAATGAGAATAAAGACAGCAGTGTTTAGAATTTTACTGTAGTGTTAATTGAAAAACACTTAAAGAAGGATGCCTGCATCTGTTTATTACCTACCAGTTTCTTTTCTAATAAAGGGACCTATAAAAGTATCTCCTGCTAAAAAACTACCAAAGGTCGCCTGCCTGGCAAGCGCAAGGTCGTGAGTTCGGTTCCAGGTACCAGAGAAAAACCAAAAAAAAAAACAAAAAAACAAAAAAACAAACTACCAAAGGTTTGTGGTCAAGTCCTGCTGCTAACTTTCCACTATGGAATCAGGGCCAGATGGAGAAGGAAACACAGGCTTTGCTGACAGCTCCCTTGCAGCCGGTGGCCCACACCCAGGACGGAGCCGAGGCCGCGGTGACCGTCTCTGCCTGCCCACTGGCAACCGACTCCGGCGGGAGTGCGCCCATCTCCACTGTCTGCGGCGAGTGGTCAAGGGGCAGCGGCCCCACTTTTCCTGCACTTGGGAGCTGGCCCTGGAGCGTGAGAGACACGCCCAGCTGCCCTCCCAGACCCCACCACCAAGGTGGGCAGAGCAGGGGCAAGGAACAGCGGGGCGCCTCCCTCTCAGCACTCGTGCGGCCCAAGGACAGAAGCACTGCTGTCCACAAGACGTGTGGGGCCGTGTACCCCACTGGCCGCTCCACCTGCGGGACTAGGGATGCAGCTCCGTCAGCCCCCGCCCTGCACCAGGCAGGTCCCAGCTCGGCTCCTAGCGCTGGAAAAAATAAAGTGACGCAGTCTAACGCACCGCCTTCTCCGTTCTCGGGAGTCTCCCGTCCAGTTTTGCTGGAACTCCGGCTGGCGGACTCCGGACTGGTCGCGCGGACGAACATCTTCCACTTGCCTCGCTTAGACATCAGTCTGCGCACCCCATCCTGAGATGCCGGCTGGCTGACGTCGGAACGGGGACTCGACCCTGACACGCTGCCATCTCCTTCCTCCAAGGCTCTCAGCTCTGCCTGGAAGACGCCGAAAGCCTGCGTCATTTCTGATACCGTGCTGTGCTACTCATGGCTTCCCAACATGCACACAGCCGCGACAGCAGGAACGAGCGCCACCGCCAAGTTCTCAGGACGAGAGACCTCTGAGAACAGCAAGCACCGCTTAACACCACCGTCTACACAGCTGGGCACCTGGGCCCGCGCCGGCCGGCCAGCCCAGCAACTGCGCAGCCACTAGTCACACAAGCTGATTTCTCAGCACTCGAGAGGCTGAGACAAGAGGCGGGCGTGAGCTCAGCGCCAGCCTGGGCCCCACAGTGAGCTCAAGGCCTGGCTGAGCTACACAGTGAGACCCTGTCTCAAAGAACAAACAGGAAGTTAAGTTTAAAAAGGGCTAGTGGGGGGAAGTAGCTCGGTCGTAGAGTTACCATCTAGCATGCACTGCACCCTGGCTTCGACCCCCAGTACAGCCAAATGAAAGAAAACACAAACCAAACTTCATCCTGGACTTCTCAGGGTGGCAGAAAATGAAACAGCCCCAAGGGAAAAAGCAGAGGATAGGCTTTTCGGAGGCAGGCGCATTTACTGGCTGTTCACCTAGCAGCTCACCAGGGCCCCAACGGCAGCAAGTGGACTCACAGCCCACCTGGCCCCAGGGAGGCTGAGGCCCCCAGCGGTGGCCGAGCACAGCCGCGGGGCAGCACCCACCTTTTTCCTCTCCAAGACGAGCTCCAGCTCCAGGGTGTCCTGCTCCTCCTCCTCCTCCTCCTCACTCTCCCCGGACTGCACCACGCTGCACAGGTCTTCCGGGGCGGGCTCCTCCACGCAGTCCAGCAGGACTTCCGGCGGCTTCCCCGGGGCCAGGGCTTCCTCAGGGACGGTGCTCGGCTCCTTGGCCTCCGGGAGGGGCGCCTCCTCTTTGCAGATCACCTTTCTCCTCCACCGCTCTTCTTCCTCCTTGATTCCCTCCGGCAACAGAGGAGCCAGCAGGGCGGCCGCCACCCCTTTCCGCTCTTCCTCGCTGTTGGAGAGCGCCTGCACGCCCTCATTCACCTCCTGCGGGGGGCGCAGTGGGCTTAGCGCCGGAGCCGCCAGGCGTGCTCAGCATCCACGCTGTGTTCACTGGACACCACAAACCTGACAGCCGCACAGGGTGCGTGTGTGCACCGCCTGTCTGTCTGTCTGTCTGCCTGTCTCTCTCTCTCACACACACACACACACACACACACACACGTAAGACAAACACTGGTATGGGGGGAGACAGTGGCTGGGGGGCACTGTGCACGCCTGTGACCCCAGCACTCCGGAAGATGGAGCAGGAGGACTGAAGAGCCCCCAGAGTCAAGCACCACCAGGGCCGCAGAACACAACCGTGTTGGGGCAGGGGACTATGTACAGACTCAGTGCACACGCCCTGGGTTCAATCTCTGGTACTACAAAAAGAAAAAAATGGCTGGGTGTGGTGGCATAGGCCTCTAATCACAGCATTTTGGAGGCTGAGGCAGGAGGACTGCCGCAAGTCTGAGGTCAGCCCGGGCTATATAGCAAGACCTTGTCTCAAAAAAAAAAAAATTCTGATACACAAACCATCATTTTCAAATCTGAGATACATTCTTCAGCACGCCCTACAGGTTGCAACTTCCTTTACTTACTGACGTACAGAATGCTCAGAAGTCGGTAGTGTAGCGCGGTGGTGGCGGCCAAACTGTGGTGCGTGTGCCACAGCAGGCTGCTTGTACCGCCGAGAGCTCCGAAAGCTTTGCCATCACTGCTTTAGGTCACGCAACCTTAACCTCAAACCTGGAATGCTCTGGAATCTGAGCATTCTGAGCAGGAGCTCAGTCACAGACACTGGCCTGTAGTGGCACATGCCTATGACCCTAGTCCTCAGGAAATCTGAGGAAGGACGACTGCAAGTTCAAGCCTGGCCTGGATAACACAGGGACTTAGTGAGACCCTGTTTCAAAATCCTACATTCGGCTGGGGATCTAGCTCAGTGGCATAAGTGCTTGCCTGGCAAGCGCAAGGTCCAGAGTTTGATTCCTGGTACCAAAAAAAAATATAAAATAAAAAATGAAAAATAAACAATAAAAATCCTAGCATTCGAGAGGCTGAGGTGGGAGATTTCAGAGTTCAAAACCAAGCATAAACTAACAAAAATTAACAAATATTCCTCAAAACAAAACAGCCAGGCATGGTGGCACACGTGTAATTTCAGCACTTGGGAGGCTGAGGCAGGAGGATGGTGGTGAGTTCAAGACCAGCCTGGGCTACAAAGTGAGCTAAGGCCAGCCTGAACTGCATAGCGAGACCCTGTCTCAAACAACAACAACCACCAAAACAATTTCCTCGCTTTACCAGTTCGGGTCCCAGGCATTCTGGGTAGGGACATTCTGTCTGTCACGTTTAACCCTCAGGGTAATTGGCCTTTGAATTTCAGGGAACCCTATGTGGAGCCCAGGACAGCGCCGCTGTCAGAAGGGACGCTGCGGGGCCAGGCCCGGGGCTCTGCGGCTCAGGAAGCCCCAGCAGCCGTGCCAGCAGGGAGCGCAGAGCGCGCCCCACCGAGAGCACACCTGGGCTCGAAACGGCCCCGCACCGCCCTAAGAGGACGGGAACAGGTATCATGACACCGACCTTCTTAACTTCGCGCTTGGCTGCGACCGGTCCGCTTTTACTACCGGAAACAGGCGCCGCTTTCTCCTTCATGAATGCGTCTGCACCGACCACAAAGCCAGCCTCAGTACCTGTTCCAGAACTGAAGATAAACCTAGTAAGGGCAACTGAAGGCAAAGTCCATCGACTCAAAACCGGCCCCCGCCCCCGCCCCGGCCACTTACCCGGGCTGGTAATGCTGCAGCCCCTGGACCTGGGTGGCAAGGTAGGGGGGCAGCTCCCAGGTGACCTCGTTGCTCTGTGTGTTCCAGTAGTAGTAGCAGCCGGTGTTCTCGTCCCACACCTCCTGCCAGTCTCCCATCTCGATTCCCACTGTGAGGGAAGACTCCACCGTGAGAAGCAGAGGCGCGGCTCCGCCCGCACTGCGAGCGCCTCCCCCAGCGTCTCCAACTCAGCCCTGCTGCAGCTTTTTGGGGCTGCGGATCCTACATGGAGGGTTTAGCCGCCCCCGCTCCCCAACCTCACAGCCCTGCCCTGTGACCGCCGAAAGCACCCCGACACTGCTGCCCGTCTCCAGGGGCAACACAAACCACGGGCACAGCTCACGGCTGAGAACTCTGCCCTAGCTCAAGCTTCACGTACTGGGCAGGCGGGCAGCCGCAGCTGTACTGGGGAAGGCAGCAGCTTGCAGGCTGAGGGAGCTCAGCGGCACAGCACTTGCCTAGCATGCATAAAGCCCTGCGTTCAATCCCCGGTACCACAAAACAAAACAACACAGAAAGTTTGCCAGCTCAGAAATGTATTCTGAACCCGAAAATGCTTTTAAATAATGGCTTTTCCTGGGTGTGGTGGTGCACGCCTATAATCCCAGCATGCAGGAGGCCGAGGCAGGGGGATCGTTGGGAATTCAAGACCAGCCTGGGCTACAAAGTGAACTCAAGGCCAGTCTGAACTCCATAGAGACCCCGTCTCAGAAAGACCCCCCACAAAAAAAAGGCTTTTCCCCTCACATAGCATAATCCACAAGTACTCAGACCAGCAATTACTTTTCAAAAGATAGAAATTACACTTCCTGAGTGCCCTGTCCTTCCCCCTCAGATGTCCTGAGCCCCAGTCCTTGAAACAGGGCTGCAGGAGCCCTCCCCCACTGCTCCCGGGCTGCGGCTAACCTCCTGCCAGAGAGCACTGCGTGTCGTACTGCCACTCCGGAGCTGCGGTCACACTGGTGCCATTGGGCGCAGCAGAGCCGGGGGTAGACGTGGCCGCTTCCTTAGGCTCAGGTCGAGGTGGGGTTGGGGGCGGGGCCGACGCCCCCGCAGGCGCGGAGGGCTGAGGCGCCGTGATGGCATCGATCTCCTGCAGCAGGAACGACAACACACACCGGTGACGCCGAGCCAGACACCAAGAAGCCAGCCGTCACTCACACTCCACGCTCTGCGGTTCCCAGCACAGCTTTTTCAGCACTAGGAACGCAGCGCAGTGGCAGAGCGCTTGCCCAGGGGTGAGGGGCCCCGGGTCCCACCCCAACACCGCACAAAGCAAACCGAAACCCAAAACCTCTCGCGGAGACACAGCTCCCCAAAGCTTCCGTCCCTTTCTGAAGTTTTCCAGTAAGAGCGAGGGGAGAGGTGAACAGAGGACAGCGGAGCCAGAGACCCACAGGCACTCCGCCCCCGGATCTCAGCTCGGCCCACAGCACTCACCGCCAGGAAGCTGGCCAAGGTGCTGTCGATGTCAGCCGACGGGTTGCCGTTGGCCTCACTGGCCTCCTCGGCCTGCGCCGGCTTCTCGGAAACATCGCTCTCGTCATCGTCGCTGTCGGCGTAGGCCCCGAGCAGGCACAGCCCGCCTACGAGCAAGCAGGCGGGGTTGGGAATGGAGAGGCGTGCGCCCAGCAGACGCCGGCGGCAAGCATGGCACTGCTCTCCGGGGCAGTTTACTTATCTACTAGACCCTAACCCCAAATCCGCAGCAATCCCTAAACCAGCCTTGGCTACTTTTCAGTATGTAGATTAAGTACTCTAAATATCAAATTCCCC